CTCTGAATGAGCCTGCATTATCAACCGGTAGGGTGGTGCGTTGGCAACTCTAACCACTGCCGCATCTACCTTTTTGGAGCTGAATCCCAGTTGTCAGAGCCCATTTTCTCAAATGGGTATAGGCATGTCATTCTCCCTTGTGCTGACTGCACTGTATGCCTGAAAGGAAGAATCATGTAATTTGAACTGGCCAAAATACACATTGCGTTTGCGCGAAACAGCACTACTGCACATGCGCACGGACGACCGGTTCGCGCATGTGCATTTCCTGGGACGGACTCCAACCAAGATGGCCGCTCCCGAATGCCGGGAGCCGCAAAAAAGTACACATAAGCCCCCAAAAAGTGGCGAAATAGCCGCTGATAATGCAGAAGTGCCGGGGACCACCAAGGAAGCAGAGTGGAGTGATAAGAACTCCAAATAATACTTACCCAATAGTTTAGAAAATTATTACCCATGACTCTTTATGTCCATTTCCTTATGCAGTTTTTCTGTTAGTACCTGAAGAAAAATATAGATTGGAGGTAGAAGGCGGAAACACAGGACCAGAATTTATATACCCATAAGGGTATATATACTTGAAGTGCATAAATTCCACTTAATATAATGGTCCTGTAGTAAAGTCTTCTTTTCCATACCTGCTACCTCCTGGTCACTGCAGGGAGAGAGTTAAAGGCATTTGTATCTTGCTAACCCTAGGGTCACCACAAGCTTACCCCGGTCACTAAATGGGTATCTTCAAGGGGACACCTTTGCACAGGGCCGTGTACTGAAACTTCCTAAGGAAGAGAGGCGGAACTCCCTTGGGGCAGAAGGTAATAACCTTCAGGTAAGCCAAAAAAAAAACACTTTTTGTCTCTGTAAATGACCAACGTTGTCCTATAGGGATAGGACAGGAACAAAAAGACTGAAGGGGTAAATGTACCCTTATTTAAAATATAGTGTGTGTTTGTATATATAATTATAATTTTTGTGTGTTTTTTTTATTTTTTTTAATTTTTTTTTTACAACAGTTACATAGCTGAAAAGAGACTTGCATCCAAGTTCAGCCTTCCTCAAACAGGTTTTTGCTGTTGATCCAAAAGAAGGCAAAAAAACTAGTCTGAAGGGCTTCCAATTTTCCAACAAACTAGGAAGAAAATTTCTTCTTGATCCCAAAATAGCAGTCAGATGTCTCCTTGGATCAAGCAGCTATTACCCCACTAATTAGAAATTATATCCCTGTATGTTATGTTTTTGCAAGTATTTATCCAATTGTAGTTTAAACCTCCACATGGACTCTGATACAACCATCTATTAAGGCAAAGAATTCCATATCCTTATTGCTCTTACTGTAAAAAAACCTTTTCTTTGCCTTAGATGAAATCTCATTTCTTCCAGCCTAAATGTGTGACCTCGTGTCCTATGTATAGCTCTGTTTATGAATAGATTTCCAGATAATTGTTTGTACTGGCCCTGACTACATTTGTATAACGTTATCATATCCCCTCTGAGGCGCCGTTTTTCCAAACTGAAGAGATTAAAAAATTTTTTAACCTTTCTTTGTGACTAAAATGCTCCATTCCTCTTATCAATTTTGTAGCTCGTCTCTGCGCTTTTTCTAGTGCCATGATATCCTTCTTTAGAACAGGTGCCCAAAGTTACACAGCATATTCAAGGTGTGGTCTTGCTGGCGATTTATAAAGAGGCAAAATTATATTTTCATCCCGAGAATTCATGCCCCTATTTATACATGACAAAACCTTACTGGTCTTAGCAACTGCAGATTGACATTGCATATTGCTGCCTAATTTGTTGTCTATAACAATTCCCAAATCCTTCTCGTGTGTGGTTATCCCTAATTCACTACCATTTAGGGTATAAGTTGCTTGTGCTTTCTTGACCCTGAAGTGCATAACTTTGCATTTCTCTACATTAAATTTCATCTGCCATTTTAGTGCCCAATCCCCCAATCTATCCAAATCCCTCTGCAGTAAAGCCATAGCCTGCTCACATTTAATTACTTTACAAAGTTTTGTGTCTTCTGCAAACACTGAAACATCATTTCTAAATATGTTAAATAGAAGCGGTCCCAACACCGAACCCTGTGGGACACCACTCACATTAGAAAATATTCACATTTAGGTCATATTTAATTTAAAAATAATACTATCAGGCTTGTTATACAATCTGGGATTAAAGGTATACTATAAGAGCCCAAGCTTTAATCCTGGCACTATAGCACCCTCTGCCTCATCCCTGTCTGGGAGACAGCCACTGGATGCAGACTTAGTGCTGCAATGTAAACATTGAAGTTTCTCTGGAACTGCGATGTTTAACATTGCAGGACTAAGGGTTATAGGGACCTCAGACCACTTCAGCTAATTGAAGTGGCGTGTGTCTATAGTGTCCCTTTTAACTTAAATATCAGTGTTTGAACGTTTCATTTGGAATTTAACTCCATTACTTTCTCATTTTTTTTAAATCTTTTTTTAAAATTTTTAGACTTGCAGGGGTACTAATCTGTAAACGTTTAAAAAAAATTTTGAAGAAAATGCATGATAAAGTTTAGAAATCGTATCTTGAATAGTTTTGATAATGTTACACCAAAAGTGTCCTAGAAACAACTTGGTGCTTTTAAAATATTATTTAGCAAACAAATGAATTTTAAGCAGACAATACAGGTGTTAAAATTGTGTTATAATTTTATTATGTTCAGTTCAGCTGACATTCAGTTTTTTTTTGTTTTGTTTTTTTATTGTATCACATTGATGGGATAGACCAATATCTCGGTTCTCCAGCTGTCACTGGGGATGGTGTTGGGGCCTTTACAGATAAGGGGAACCAGGATCAGTTCCATCTTTTTCCCATGGGACAATGTTAGGAGAGCTAAATGGCACATTGTCTTAATTCTATTCAGAGGTTTGGGGTTGTCCTTTACAAGCCAGTGGAGATCTCCAATATTCCTTCAAACTATGAGTGTTCAATTGTAGTCTTTTCTCTATAGGCTTTAGAGTGAGGTTCAGTAGCCCTAAAGTGGGCTTGGCGACCACAATTACTCTGCTTCTGCCTGTCCTTGGATCCCCTAAAAATCAGATGGAAGTCCTGGTCTCATTCTTAGCACCATAACATCATTTACTATTGAGTTACTAAGACAGAAAGCCAACGAGAACTGCTTTTTTGAAGTGTCTGACTACATTAAATTATTTATACCACCTATAGTGTCAGCTATCAATGGTGTTCTGGAGCCAATAGCTAAGTGGCTGGATTATCTGTTCCAAGCTCCTGTTGAGGATCTTCATACATGCATCAGATACACAATCACTAATAACAAAACTTACACAGCTTGATATTCGTGAGAATGTACCGATACTCATCACTATAGATGTAGCCAGTCTTTATACAGTCATACCCCATGACGAAGGGGTAGAAGCAATGAGATATGTACCAACACATTCGACAAAGTATCATGGTCCTCCTATTGAATTCATCCCAGAGCTCCTCACATTGACCCTTTAGAACAATTACTTTAGATTTGAAAATCAGTGGTATCTACAGACAGCAGACGTCTCGATGGGTATAGCAATGGCACCAATGTATGCAAACGCATACGTGTGTATCTGAAGAGCAATATATTCTGAGACAGTATGGACATAACATCCAGGGATATATTCGCTATATTGATGATCTGCTGGTCTTATGGAAGGGTACTCCAGAAGAAGCTGAATGTATGGAATTGTTTGAACCAGTTGCCCTCACCGATCAGATTGACAGCATATATACATTTAAAAACAGGTCCATTATCTTGACCTCCAGATTACCTTTGGAAATGCTAAAATTGAATACAGTATTTTTTTTCTAAACCCACGGACCGCAACACATTTTGCACTACCAGAGTACCCATCCTAGGGCTTTGAAGGATTCCCTCCCTAAAGCACAGTACATGCGTGTCATCAGAAACCATTCCAACGATGAAACCATGGAAGTCCAATTGCAGAACTATAATGACTATAAAATTCTTGGAGAGAGGCTACAAGCAAGATGTTCTATAGAAAGCCCTTAAAGAAGTGCGAAGTAAGCCTGTCAAGATTAGTGTTTCAAGCTAGGGATCGACCGATTATCGGTTTTACCGATATAATCGGACGATATTCGGTATTTTCGGCAATATCGTTATGGGCCAATAGAGATACCGATATTGCCGATAATACCTCCTAGGACCGCCAGGCTCATTACAGGTCCGGCGGTCCTGGGGGGGCGGGCAACAAGCGTTTTACTCACCTCCCAGCAGCTCCTCCAGCTCCCCAGTGTAAGTCTCGCGAGACCCGCGGCCGTCAGAGCGTTGCCATGGGTTACCATGGCAAAGCTCCATGCGGCACGCTGGCCGCGAGAGTTACACTGGGGAGCTGGAGGAGCTGCTGGGAGGTGAGTAAACGCTTGCTGCCCGCCCCCCACAGCTCAGCCAATGCCACTGGACCACCAGGGACTGCTATATCCCCCCTCCCTGGCCAAGTATGAAACAGGGAGGGGGGACAACAAAAATAAATCATAATAATAAAATATAAAAAAATAATAATTTAATAAAAAATTCCCCCTCACACACACTCTTATATACACTACACAAACACTGTGTATATAATGCAGTGTGTATGTATGTGTGTGTGTGTTTGTATAGTGTGCGTATATAATGCAGTATGTGTATTGTGTGTGTGTGTGTGTATATAATGCAGTGTGTGTGCAGTGTTTGTATAGTGTGTGTGTGTGTATATAATGCAGTGTGTGTTTGTATAGTGTGTGTGTGTGTGTGTGTGTGTATATAATGCAGTGTGTGTTTGTATAGTGTGCGTATATAATGCAGTGTGTGTGTGCAGTGTTTGTATAGTGTGTATATATAACAGTGTGTGTTTGTATAGTGTGTGTGTGTATATAATGCAGTGTGTGTTTGTATAGTGTGCGTATATAATGCAGTGTGTGTGTGCAGTGTTTGTATAGTGTGTGTATATATAACAGTGTGTGTTTGTATAGTGTGTGTGTGTGTGTGTGTGTATATAATGCAGTGTGTGTTTGTATAGTGAGCGTATATAATGCACACACACACTGCATTATATACACACACTACACAAACACACTGTGTATATAATGCAGTGTGTTTGTATAGTGTGCGTATATAATAGTGTGCGTATATAATGCAGTGTGTGTTTGTATAGTGTGTGTGTGTGTGTATATAATGCAGTGTGTGTTTGTATAGTGTGCGTATATAATGCAGTGTGTGTGTTTTTATAGTGTGCGTATATAATATAGTGTGCGTATATAATGCAGTGTGTGTTTTTGTATAGTGTGCGTATATAATGCAGTGTGTGTGTTTGTATAGTGTGCGTATATAATGCAGTGTGTGTTTTTGTATAGTGTGCGTATATAATGCAGTGTGTGTGTTTGTATAGTGTGCGTATATAATGCACACAAACACACACTCTGCATTATATACACACACTACACAAATACACTGTGTATATAATGCAGTGTGTTTGTATAGTGTGTGTGTATATAATGCAGTGTGTGTGTGTTTGTATAGTGTGCGTATATAATGCACACAAACACACACACTGCATTATATACACACACTCTGCATTATATACACACACTACACAAACACACTGTGTATATAATGCAGTGTGTTTAGATAGTGTGTGTATATATTGCACACTACACAAACACACTGCATTATGTACACACACTATACAAACACACACTCTGCATTATATAAACACACTACATTCACTATACACACACTCTGCACAAACACACACACTTTGCATCTAGTATATACAGCATTCACTTTACGCACACTACCCACACACTACACAAACACTCTGCTTTCATTATATACACACTACACTAATACACACTGCATCCACTACACCCACTAGACAAATACACACTGCATCCACTACACAAACACACATTGCATCCTCAACACACACACTACACAAACACACACTGCATCCACAACACACACAATGCATCCACTACACACACACTACACAAACACATACTGCATCCACTACATACACTGCACAAACACACACCGCTCCCCTGTCTAAACACACTGCATCCACTACACGTGGCATGTATATTTTGTGACCTTTAGAAATAGTTTTTATTTTCCAAAATGGTAAATGTACAGAATATCGGCAAATTAGATCGGCTATCAGCCTGAAAGTTCACAAAATATCGGGATCTGTATCGGCTCTAAAAAAAATCAATATCGGTCGATCCCTATTTCAAGCCTGTCAAGATGGAGTTCCACAAATAGCCACTTTAATTCGGCAAAACGGGCAGATGATTTTAAGAAATGACACGCTTCCAAAAGTCTTCAAAGAGATACCACTACTTTGTTACAAAAGAAACAAGAATCTTAGACTTACTAGTTCATACGGATCCCATCAACCGTTACACACAGAATAAAGGCATTCAGAATTGTGGCTTAGTACGATTCCTAGGCTGTGTTACATGCAGCCATATGCTACCAGCCTGTACGTTTAACCACCCTCACACCAACAAAAAAATATCTGTTTTAACACACCATCACTTGTAGGACCACACACGATTGACCTGCTCCTGTGGCCTTTCTTACTTTGGGAAGACCGAGACAGTTTTGTGTGAACAGATCAGGGGTCATAGGTCGAGTATTAAACTAGCCTACAGAGACAGAACTTCAGATAAACCCGTTGCAAAACATTTCTTACACCTTGGTCATGCTTTATCAACTTGAAATTTGTAGGTATTGATCATATACTACTACGAAGAGGTGGCGACCCAGGCAAAATGCTATTGAATAGAGATCCATGTCCTGGGCACTTTATCTCCAAAGGGACTTAACAAATCCATTCCGCTTTACTCCTGTTTGTGAAAGATAGTCGTTAGGCACGTATCAGTCTTGCTTGCAGATTTTTGTTTTTGTTTTTAAGTTTAGCGGAGAAGTATGTTACCTAGTTTCTGTATAGCTTTGATTATCAATAAGTATGGTAAAATATCATTTCATTAATATGTAAAGGTTGGTCAGGACAATTCCTGCAACTTAAGATTCTTACCCTGTCAAAATTATTACAGGTATCCTATAATAGAATTAAAGTTATGATTTAGACATACCACGCTAGCAGAAATGTTGGTAATCTTTTTGACTATTAAGTTTTTATTAATAGAAGTTATATGTAACATTTTTAATATTGGCATTTCACGTATGCCTGGAAATAGTTCACCTATCCAGGCACTTTATGCTGTAACTAGTACTTTATATAAGTGCTGAGCACCTTTCCCACCCTGCGAGTGAGGCAGTGCATGTTTGCTCTTTTGGAGGCATCAAAATCTCTTGCTTCCTTTGAATTGAGAAACTTCCTGAGGAGTTTGTCCACAATGGTGTGAATAATAAAAGCAGTGTGCGGTTGCCTACTCAATACAATGCATATTGTACCATACCATACATCACCCATTAGCAGTACAGCCTCCAGGAGTAAATACAGTAGGGAGGTATAGAGGCACCAACAAAGTGGGCCAATCGAAAGAGCTGTACCAGAGACAGCCAGTTCAACAGCCCATACCCTGTCCAATAAGGCATCAGGGAAAGTGTAAATATGGTAGAAGGGTCTCCCACAGTAATACCTCAGTGGGTGTATCCCTAGTGGGGATACAGTGGCACAGAGTCGTTGGATCTAATGGAGGGGTTCTCTCCAATTTCCCACCCGTTACAGCAGCATCTATAAAAGAGGGTCCGGTGAGGTAGTCAGAACACTTACTGTAAGAGCAGTAACATCAGCGGAAAACTACAATATGTAGCACAAACAACCATATGGAGTTGAGTTTATGAGGGACGCCTCTCTAATAAGACACCAGTACCCTGTGCTGGTATAAGCCTGTAAGATGAACGAAGGCTGATGGTAGCAGGATAAATAACCATGTTGGGTAGTGTCAAGAGACGGGCTCTCCCTCCAGTAAGGGAAACCGAATCCAGTACTGTAATAAACTGCAATGCTAACCTTAAACTGATGGGAACAGTATAAGTATTCATATTGGGCTGTGCATATGAGAGGAGCTTAGTAGCGGGTTGAGCATATGAGAGGGCCGCACTCTCTAATAATGTAATCAGTATCCATGTCAGCATCAGGCTTATGATACGAGGGCCGCACACTCTAATAATAAAATTAGTGTCTGGCTCAGTATATGAGAGGGGGTCACCCTCTAATCATGCCGTGTGCATCAATATCGGCATGGGGCTGAGGTTATGGGAGGGCCACACCCTCTAATAATACAATTAGAGTCCATATCAATTGAGTATATGCGAGGGGTTCACCCTCTAATGTAAGTGGTTGCAATATCAGCTTTGGGCTGGGGTCATGAGAGGGGCCCACCCTCTAAGGAAATTACTCCCAGTATCAATCATATAAATGCAGCCTAGGGCCGTGCCCATGCGTCTAATAATGGTGTCAATCTGATAAGCTGCAATACCTATAAAAATAAGGAATCTACAAACGGCTGCCTGGATCCTGCGCAAGTGTGCAGGATCCAAGATGGCCGCCGGAAGCCTGAGAAAACGCTGGAGACATTCTCCGCGATCCACAAGAGCCCGTAGTCGGAGGAGGCCAAGGTGAGGCCTCTCGACATTCCGAGCGAGGGGGAAAAAAACAAACACAAAACAAAGAAACAAAACTAAATATAAAGTTGAGATAAATGAAAACTTGTACATCTGAGGGAAGGCAATATAATGGAAAGGAAATGAAGACCAGTAAACCCAATAGGAAATAACGACAAAGATACATGACATATATCTACATAGATATAAAAAAGATAGGCTATGCAGCTGAAGACTAAAAGATTTCCCTGTGCTCCCTCATTGGTGTCTGAGAACTGGTCACTGTATGTGTTTCGTTATGGTTGTGGAAGGAGCATTTACAGTGATCTCCCCCTGACAGAGGTGCCTACCACAAGGAACCACCAGGGAGCGGGCCAGAAGAAAATAACGGAGAAAACACCACAAACACCGGCATGCAGCGCAACCTGAAAACTATAAACCCATAGGGTCAGGATGGTAAGCCTCGACATAAAGAGCAGTACACTGGCTGCCTGAATATGTCCTAACCTGACAGGGCAGGAAAGAAACCTGTGCAACTGGGGGGTACCCCCAGCCTGGGCTCATCACCCACCAAAGGGGCTCGGCATGCACCACAACGTGTCCTACAGTGAGGAAAAATACACCAAACAGACCAAGATATGCCACCTAATAAAAAAAATAGACCCCAAAACCCTAGGGCAGGCATGTGAGCAGATCACAGAAAAGAGGAGGGGTAGAGGCCTGAAAGGAAGTCTGTGGCACATGATGAGCATGAAAGGAAGAGAAGATGCCAGTATAATACAATAAAAAGAAAAATAGAATCCCACGCAAAGGCAATTAACATAGGGATACCAAAAAAACACACATACTTTCACACTTAAATGAATGGAAGGACTAAAAACAGTTTAAGGTAATTCCAACATACCACCTATCTCACCAAGACGTGTCATTAAAATTCCACTCAATGCAAAGTTCCTTGGCTAATGTAGATGGATGGAAGGAGTTAACCAATGCAGTGTCACAATCCTGAACTTTGACACTGTGGAAGGAGAATTAACCTTTAGTATCAGGTTGGCTATAAAGGCCATCTCAGGGAAGCCTGGCGCCAGAGGAGAAAGCTGAAGTAGCTCCAACATGTGGGAAGGGCAGTGGTTAGCCACACTCTCCCCCGTTGCCCGGGCGCACGTGGGCCGCGGTTCAATGTTGACAAAACGGCTGCAGTGAGGGAGGGGGGCTCCAGCCGTGGGGATCTCTCGCAATAGCACGAGGTCCAAGGAGGCCATGGGGAAAGAACATGTGGGACCGCCGGAGATCAACTCCGTAGTCCCGGTGTTCGGGAAGTCTAAGGGTGCAGCAAGGCAGAAGCCCCCGAGACTATGTAACACCCAGTAGCACAAATAAAATAATGGGGGGAAAAACATCAGTTGTTTGACAAACAAATACCAATAATAGTCAAAACAGTGTTAAAGCAGGCAGACATTATAAAAGACATTTTATAGCTCCTTACTGCAAAGTACAAAGGGGTG